ATTCACATTTTTCTGAAAACTTATTTGTTATAGTGAAATTATTTACACCATTCCTCAAAAATTATACCTTCTGTAAAATATTTTTATTCCAAAAATTTACCCATTTTGTTCGAACTTACACATTTTCTGAAAACGAATCTTACACCTTTTGCCAATTTACTTACATCTTTTGTAAAAAAACTTACATCATTTCTCAAAAATTACACCTTTTGTGAAATACCTTCTTTCCAAAAATATACACCTTTTGTTCAAACTTACACATTTTCTTAAATCTTACACCTTTTGTTGAAAATAGTTACACCTTCTCTGAAAAGTTACTTCTTTTGTGAAATAAACTTTGCATAAAATTTACACATTTTGTGATTCGAAGACTTAGACTATTTTTTAAATCATTTACACCTTCTATGAAAAACATAAAACTTTTTTGAAAAGTTACACCTTTTGTGAAATAAATTTTTTCATAAAATTTATACATTTTGCTAAATACATACACCATTTCTAAAAGTCTACACCTTTTCGTGCAAATACTTACACCTTTTTTTGAAAAGTTACTTCATTTGTGAGTTAATATTTTCCATAAAATTTACACCTTCTATTGGAAGTCACACATTTTCTGAAAACAAAATTTACATCTTCTGTGACATTAATTGCTTGCATATTTTGTGAAAACATTTTCACATTATTTGAAAATTTACACATTTTATGAAAATTTTGGTTTCATAAAATTTATACCTTTTGTGAATCCTTACACCTTATCTGAAAGTTTAAACCTTTGAGGGGAAGTACTTACACCATTTTCTGAAAATGTGTAAATATTTTTCCCAAAAGGTGTAAACTTTATAAAAACATATTTTTATAAAAAAAGTGTAAATTTTCAAAAACCGTGTAACTGTTTTCACAAAAGATTTAAGTTATGTTACAAAATGTGTAACTTTTGTTTTTAGAAAAGGTGTAAGTCAAAATAAAAGGTATTTCACAACAGGAGTAACTACTCAGAATGGGTGTAAGTTTTTAACAAAAGGTGGAAATTTTAAAAAAAGATGTAACTGTTTTCACAAAGGATGTAAGTTATGTCACAAAAGGTGTAACTTTTGTTTTCACAAAAGGTGTAAGTTCTAAAAAGAGGAGTAAATTTTATGGAAAAAATTATTTCACAAGTGGAGTAACTTTTCAGATAACGTGTAAGTATTTCTAACAAAAGGTGTAAAATTTAAGAAAATGTGTAAGTTTTTTTAACAAAAGGTGTATATTTTATGAAATGTAGTTTTTCATAAAAGGTATAAATTTTTGTAATGAAATTATTTTACAAAAGAGGTAACTTTTCTAAAAAGGTGTAAGGATTTGAACGAAAATGTGTAAATTTCCAAAATAAATTATTTCACAAAAAACTGTAACGTTCCAGAAATACTATAAGTGTTTTCACAAAAGATGAAATTAACTTCACAAAACGTGTAAGTTTCGTTTTTTCGCAGAACGAGTAAGTTGCTAGAACCCAATCAAACTGTATTTGTGTTGTTCATGGTTCGATATCGATATAGACAGACAGAGACGAAGGGAGGGAGAGAGACGGATTGATATCGACAGACAGAGACCGAGATAGACATGGTTCGACAGAGAGAGACGGACCCAGATTGACACAGACAAATCAAGATTGATACAGACAGAGATCGGCAGACAGAGAGAGAGAGGCCGACATGGTTCGACAGAGAGAGACGAACCTAGATCGACACAGACAAACTAAGATCGAGAGAGAGAGAAAGAGAGAGAGAGAGAGAGACCGACATCGACAGAGAAGAGCCCGAGACGGACAAAGAGAGACCAAGATAGATAGAGACAGAAAAATCCTTTGATTTGCACCAGCGGCGGTGGCAGTGGCAATGTCAGTCGGTGATGGACAACGGTGGCCCGCGACGCGACGGTTGCGTGGTCGGTGGTGATAAAATTTTCAACGTATAAGTCGTCAATAAAAGTTAGAGCTTCTTTGGGAACTTATATTTTTTGTAAAAACGACACATTCAGCTTGATTGTCTCAAAAAGTTTACACCTATTCCTAAATTTTATACATTTTCTAAAAATTTACACATTTTCATAGAAATATTTACAACTTCTTTGAAAAATTACACATTTTGTGGAAAAACGTTTTTCATAAAATTTAAACTTATTATTTGAAGTTACACCTTTATTGAAAAACAAAACTTACATCTTTTTTAAGGTCATTTATACCTTCTTCGGAAAAACATACACCATATTTGAAAAGGTTATACCTTTTGTCAAATAATTTCTTTTACCAAATTTTATCAAAGCATATTTTCCATAAAACGTGTAAATTTTCAAAAAATGTGTAATTGTCTTCGCCAAATATGTAACTCTTATTAAAAGGGGTAAATCTTTTTAAAATTTTTGTTTCACAAAAGGAGTACCTTTTCAGAAGAGGTGTAAGTTTTTAAAATAAGGTGTAAACTTGATGAAAACACATTTTCCATAGAAGGTGTAAATTTTTAAAAAAGGTATAAGTTTTGTTGGCAGAAAATGTGTAATATCCCATAAAAAGTGTAAATTTTATGGAAAAAGTTATTCACAAAAGTAGTAACCATTCAGAAAATGTGTAAGTATTCCCACAAAAATATGTAACCATTCAGAAAAGGTTTATCTTTTTAAAAAAAGGTATAAATTTTATGCAAAATATTTTTTCCATGAAAGGTGTAAATTTTTTTACTAACATTCTCTACAAAAGTAGTAACTTCTCACAAAGGGTGTAACTATTTCAACGAAAATGTGTATATTTTAAAAAATAAATTATTTCACAAATGTGTAACCTTCCACAAATAGTGTAAGTGTTTTCACAAAAAGGTGTAACCATTCAGAAAAGGTTTATGTTTTTAACAAAAGGTATAAATTTTATGCAAATATTTTTTCCATGAGAGGTGTAAATTTTTTTAATAGCATTCTTTACAAAAGTAGTAACTTCTCACAAAGGGTATAAGTATTTCAACGAAAAGGTGTAAATTTTACAAAATAAATTATTTCACAAATAACCTTCCACAAATAGTATAAGTGTTTTCATAAAAAAATGTAACCATTCAAACAAGGTTTATGTTTTTAACAAAAAGGTATAAATTTTTTGCAAATATTTTTTTCATGAAATGTGTAAATTTTTTGAATAACATTCTTTACAAAAGTAGTAACTTCTCACAAAGGGTGTAAGTATTTCAACGAAAATGTGAAAATTTTACAAAATAAATTATTTTACGAATATGTAACACTCCACAAATAGTGTAAGTGTTTTCACAAAAAGGTGTAACCATTCAGAAAATGTTTATATTTTTAACAAAAGGTATAAATTTTATGCAAATATTTTTTCCATAAAAGGTGTAAATTTTTTTAATAACATTCTTTACAAAAGTAGTAACTTCTCACAAAGGGTGTAAATATTTCAACGAAAAGGTATAAATTTTACAAAATAAATTATTTCACAAATGTGTATCATTCCACAAATAGTGTAAGTGTTTTCATATGAGATATAAGTAACTTTGCAAAACGTGTAAGTTCCGTTTTTTCACAAATCGTGTAAGTTCTCAAAATCCAATCAAACTGTATTTCTCTTGTTCAAATAATGGCGATGTGTGAGAGAAGGGCGTTTCGGAGGGCTTGGTCTTTCTCTCAATACAAGTCTGTTTCAGAGAAGACGAGTTTGGGAGGGCATGAAATAGCGACTCCAAGTCCAAATCCAATCAAGCATGTCAATGTAAAAGAGAACCGTTTTTAATATAGAGCAATGGATAGAGAGAGAGATAGCTGAGATTGACAGACATAGAGACCTAGATGAACAGTGATCGATAGAGACAGCCAGACCGAGATCGACAGAGAGGGACCGAAATCGACAGAGATCGACAGAGAAGAGACTGACATGGACACAAACAGACCAGGATCATTGGAGGCTGACCGAGATAGACAGGAATCGACAGAGAGAGACCGACATCGACGGAGAATAGGCCGACATCGACAAAGAAAGACCAAGATCGATAGCGAGAGAGAAAAAAACCTTTGATTTGCGGCAGCGGTGATGACGGTGGCCGTAGCGGTCGCCGTGGAGGTGGCGATGTGCAGACGACAGTGAGCACCGGAGGCCACCGACGCTTGGGTGGTCAGTGGGGGTCAAGATTGGTGGTAACTATTCTCTGTGTGTGTGAGAGAGAATAGAGAAAGTGTCGGTGGGAAACAGAGAAGAGGGGGGCCGATGGTAATAAAATTTCAAACCTTTAGCGACTAAACCGTTTTTTGTCGATAAAATTTACACTAAACTAAATTTTACACTTTTTCTGAAACATTACACATTTTCTGAAATTTTTTCTAAACTTATAACTTTTCGTCAAAATACTTACACAATTTTGTGAAAGTTTACACCAATTTCTGAAAGTTTATACCTTTTCGTCAAAACACTTGCACCATTTTCTGAAGGTTTACACATTTTCCTGAAAGTTTATACTTTACACCATTTTGTAAAAGTTTACACCAATTTCTAAAAATTTATACCTTTTCGTCAAAACACTTGTACCATTTTGTAAAAGTTTACACCATTTTGTGAAATTATTAATATATTATATTATTTAATTAATTTACTTGCAAAGGACCCATTTAGCAGGTCACCAATGTGTAAATTTTCAAAAAATGTCATCTAATCTAATACATAAAAGATGTAAATGTAAAATAGAAAAAGAATAAATACCTTACATATCATATTTCAGGCACACTTAGGAAAAGTCTTTTTTGATTTTTGATTTTTGATTTTTGGAGTTTTTGAAGTCAAATCAAAAAGGTTGCTTCTGATCAGTTCACGAACTAGTGTGATGGAGATATTAGACCCTACTATGGCCAGCTCTCGTTTAATGCAACCGTTATCTGTCTAAGGTGGTTGCCACATTAAATTACCCCCCTCCCTCCCTTTCTCTCTCTCTCTCTCTCTCTCTCTCTCTCTCTCTACTTGGAACTTGCTACTTTTGCCACCATCCGTATAATGTTCGTCTTCAAAGCTCAAACACCCACCTCCTACTCCTCTCTCTCTCTCTCTCTCTCTCTCTTTCTGTGCGTGTGTAAATTATAATAGCATGAAAGGGTTGGTTGATTGTTGAATACAGTTAAGTTATTAATCATTGGATCCGATGATAATGAATACCATTTTTTACATGACCACCCTCCTGCTTCTATAACTTTTCTCTTCTTCACACTCTTTTCATTTTCATTTCTTCTCTGCTTCAACACCCACTTACTATTATTATTCACTATGGAGATAGAGGTGGCAACTTCTAATGGAGGTGGATATGGAGGTGGTGGTAGCAGTAGTGGTGGTGGTGATGATATGGATAGGGGGGGAGTGGAATTGTACGGTGGAGATGAAAGGGCAGCAGCAGCAGCAGCAGCAGCAGCAGCAGCAGAAGCATATTTGGTGTGGGAAGATCTAACGGTGATGCTGCCAAACTCTGGGCATGGATCCACAAAGAAGTTGCTGAATGGACTGAGTGGGTGTGCTGAGCCTGGTAGAATAATGGCCATTATGGGTCCTTCTGGCTCCGGCAAGTCCACCCTTCTTGATTCCTTGGCAGGTCTCTCTCTCGCTCGCTCTCTCTAGATATATGAATCAAATCCAACATTAGAGATGCTTTGGAATGGTTTGGAATGGTCCTTTAATTATATTTTATACATCTTTTCATTTTTCTTTTTAAAATTCCTCCCTCAATATATGAATCAAATTAGAGATGCAAATAATTTAGGCTCCCTTTAGATTGCAATATTATGATAAATAAAAACAAATAATTCTGATTTCTCAATGAATAATAAATAAATAACAGAAACTCTAGGATGCCAGGAAATAGTACGCACAATTTTACTATGAATATTGATGTATGGCGTAAATTTAAGAAAAATATTTGGTAGTTCGAAATTGTGTGATCCGAATTACTTGAATGTATCAAAATAATGTTATTTTATATCTAAAACGACGTCGTTTTAAGACATTCGAGTCATTCCGGCTATAAAAATTTGGACTACCAAACATTGTTGTAAATTTAATTATGTATAAAACTTAAATTAAATCTCACTGTTTTTTGGATTTTTTTCTTACTAACTTTTTGACATCCTAACACTGCCCTAAAAAAAGGCACATGTTACTTTGTATTTTGAAGAATAATTAACATTTTTTTTTAAGCATAATTTTTTTTTTAACCAAATTTGTATAACTTTTTTTGTAAAAAGCAGAACTTGAATTTTAAAAGAATTTTCTTTCTTAATATTTTAATCATATATGAATCAAATCCAACATTAGAGATGCTTTGGAATGGTTTGGAATGGTCCTTTAATTATATTTTATACATCTTTTCATTTTTCTTTTTAAAATTCCTCCCTAAATATATGAATCAAATCCAACATTAGAGATGCAAATAATTTAGGCTCCCTTTAGATTGCAATATTATGATAAATAAAAACAAACAATTCTGATTTCTCAATGAATAATAAATAAATAACAGAAACTCTAGGATGCCAGGAAATAGTACGCACACTTTTACTATGAATATTGATGTATGGCGTAAATTTAAGAAAAATGTATGGTAGTTCGAAATTGTGTGATTCGAATTACTTGAATGTATCAAAATAATGTTATTTTATATCTAAAACGACGTCGTTTTAAGACATTCGAGTCATTTCGGCTATAAAAATTTGGACTACCAAACATTGTTGTAAATTTAATTATGTATAAAACTTAAATTAAATCTCACTGTTTTTTGGATTTTTTTCTTACTAACTTTTTGACATCCTAACACTGCCCTAAAAAAAGGCACATGTTACTTTGTATTTTGAAGAATAATTAACATTTTTTTTTAAGCATAATTTTTTTTTTAACCAAATTTGTATAACTTTTTTTGTAAAAAGCAGAACTTGAATTTTAAAAGAATTTTCTTTCTTAATATTTTAATCATCTAAACAAATGATAAGAGGTCTCTTTCTCTTCATTTTTTTTTTTAAAATTTTTTTCCTCACCAAGCCCTCACATTCAAGCCAACTGTTAAATAATTGTAAAAATGTTTTTTTAATGAATAATTTTGATATATATATATATATATATATATTTTTTTATATTGGTGAATAATTTTGATATCAAACTTTGCATTACACAACTTTACTGTTGTGTCGCTTTCTATTGTCTATCTATCTATCTATCTACACTATTAATAATGACAACACCTTAGTTGGAACCATCATCCAATTTAATGTCAAGTATCCATTTTGTGATTCTAAAAATAAAAAAAAAAATTAGAGAAATAGTGGGCATGGGACTCATACTATGAACAATAGTATAATGAAAAAAACTCTTATCACTTAATCAAATACTATATATATATGGTAACTATTTTATTTTATTTTACTTATTTAAATTATACACACAGTGCTTATCAACATATATGGTTCGGAAAATATTAATATAAGGTCTATTTTAAAGCACCGACAGTTGGATTGGTCACATTAATTTGGATAGCGAAAGGCAGTTGAGGAAATTAAACAAAAAGTTGATTGCTCATTAGCCCATGGGCCAACCCTATAGTCCATTTACATATTAGGCTATCCAGTCTCTTTCTTACAGCTAATTATGGCCAATTTGTGACTCTCTTTTTTTTTCTTTTTTTTGGTATTAACTTCTTTTTTTCTTTCTTTATTCTCATATTTATTTTTTAAGTGTCTTGAGATTGTGCACTGCCTAAAGTCTACGTGCATTAGGAAAAAAATTTGTAGTGGTACCATAGCACAAACTACTGCTACTCCAAGCCCAACCCTATTAAGAACAATCCCAAATTTATCCGAATTTGGAGTTGGCAAATCAGATAAGAGATAATCCGAAATCAAATTATATTTGGATATTTAGTTATCGTTTGACAATATCACTTTTAATTTAAAAATCAAAAAGTCACTAAAAAGATAAAAAACCAATAACCTATACCTAAAAGTTAAAAATTCTATTTTCTCTCAATTTTTTACACGTTTTTTCGTAAAAAATTAAAAAGTCATTCTAAACATGCCAGTTTTTTTTACTTCATATTTTAGCCAAAAAAGTTCAAAAGCTTTTAAAAAAATATGTTTCCAAACGAGGCCTTAATTTGACAATCTGATCCGATCCGTTTTTTCTTTTTTGCCCTCTTTGTCACTGATAGAATTTTAGAACAAGACAAAGTACACTTTATATCATAGGATTCTTCAATTAACTGGGAGTTTTTTCTTGCCTTTTAACTTTGGAAGGTTAGTGCATAACATGATTTCTCAGATTGGGTTAATAATCGGATTGGTCCCAAATGCGGTCTGTCAATACTCAGATCTATTACATTTGGATTCAATCTTTTAAGGTTAGATTTTTTTTTAATCGGATTTAGATTATTTTCTATCCATGTATAGGCCTACATTATTACACCAATCCCCCACTTTGATTATGAGATTAGATGGTCCAGCATTTGGGGGGGACCCCTATATGTTAGGTGGTCCGGCATTTGGTTGTTGTAGGATTAGGATTCATTCCGGAATCAATCCTTATACGGACATAACTAATACCACTCCCATGGGATAGTTTGGATTAAGCCCTCCAGATATTTTTTTCCCCTTCCCTCAATGGTAAAAAATAATCATCTCTCCTTATTCTATTGTTTATACCACTCTAACCAAACATAATGCAACTAATTGTATGTGCATATACAATCTCATCTATTATTCCTTAGTACTACTCTAATGCTGTGTTTGGTTGGGAGATTTAAAGAGGAATTTGGAAAGGGGAATGAAAAGATAGGTGAAATGTGAATAAAATATATCTATATTTCATATAGTTTCACACACCTTTTTCTTTTCCCTCTCCTAATCCCCCAACCAAATACAACGTGAGGGAGACTCTATTTACACAATATAAATCCTCTTAGTATACACCATTTAATCATTGAATTTATATGAAAATAATGCCTTCAAGTAGAATAATTATTAAGGATAATATGGGTGTACGTACTCATTCAAGTAATTCACATATGAAAACACAAATTTCTCGTTACACACCATCACCTATACATTATATCTTTTGGAACAAATCTCTCTTTCAACACTCACATCTAACACTGTTCATCTTCACTATTATAATACAACCATTTTCACCATTACAATCTAACATACTACACTCATCATCTTCATCATTATAATCTTCACCATTGCCTTTGAAGATTTAGGATTTTAAAAACATTGAAATTTATTAGTTTTGAAAATTTGCACACTATGGATGGCATTCAAATTATTGATTTGAAACAATACCATAATGAAAATATCAGTTTACTTTTTTGTCTTATCTCGTTCGTATAAAAGGTGACTTGTTCGTTTGTCACGTATTCAGACATCAGTGTTGAATAGTTATAAAATGTTCAATCATTTATATTTGAACAAAATTATTTTGTTCAAATTATTGAGATTAATCAAATATTAAATGTTTATACAAAAAAAATTAAACATTTTGGTGGTGGTGTGTACCAGTTTATTAGCTTAGAGTTAAAACGGAAAGTTATGGCGTGAACTAAGAAATTTTCACAATTTAAAAATTATTATATATGTGTACTAAATAATGGTGTGTACTGAAAGGATTGTGTTGGAAATTGGTTTTATATAGACTTATTTTGGGCCATCTTTGAGCCCAAAATTGAGTGGGGTCTACACGTCTTTTGGGGTGGATCCGAATAGGCGACGTGTTTCTTGCTGCGTGGTAAGTCACATGGTGAAGACAGTTCGTCAAAACTATTTATAAGTGAATGGGAACTTGACATTGTTTTCGGGTTCGTGGAATGAACATTTAAAGAAGTAAAATGTGGGTTTCTTTGAAATAGTTATCCCACATTGGAAACTTAAGAGAACTTATGTGTGTATATAAGTTTTACATGACAACATTTGGGTTGGGCCCCAAGGGGCACCCCAAGTTTGTAGAAGGGAGTAGTTATGAACAAAGTGAACCTTAGCCTAAATCACCACACGCATGCCGCTGCTGTTTAGCCGGCTGGGTACAGGTTGTGGGTTGATTCAGTTCTAATATTAATTTTTTAGACAAAATTTATTTGAATTTTTTCCAAATTTCTTGCGGGAAAATTAATTTAAATTTTGCGCCAATGTAATTTGAATTTGAAATTCAAAACCTTTTGTCCATAATGTGTGCCTCTTTTCAGATCTAAATTCCACAACAGTTCAATCAGTCTGAACAGTTTTCACCCGGATAGATTCAAAACTGCCAGCAGTTTTCCAACAGATAGAAACTGCCCAGCAGTTATCTGTTGCACCTGTTCATTCAAAAAATCCACATGTTCAGTTTGGTTTTCAGACCTGTTCGGGTCTATATATAGCATGCCATTTTCCAGCGGTCATTCAATCCGAAATTCTTCATTTTCCTTGTACTTTTGCTCTCTTGCATGATATAATCTTCATATAATTTTTAGGAAAAATTCAGAGAGTAAGAACATAGGTTTTTTTGTTCGTCGAATAAATTGTTTGGAGTGCTACTACAATTTGTGAAGATGATTGTATCTTGGGAGATAGACGCCACTTA